GATTTGCAAAACTTACTTTGGAGATTTCTTAGCAAAAAGGCAAAATTTGGCACTGAATCGATGGATATACCGTACATAAATGATGTGTTTAGCGCCGTTTCTATTTGAAATATTTATTAATTTCCTTAAAATATGAATGAAAAGTTTGCAAACCGCACCGATTTCAAATCGTACGATTTGCAGCACATGCTCAAAAACTCTATTTCGAATTCTTAAATTTTTTTATAACGCATAATAATTAAGGAACTCCATAACAAAACACTAGAATTATAATTTCACAGATTATTGAGAAAAAGGTGTGAATTCATAAAAAGGAACCTAAGTTAGAGGAACCTGGTTAAAGTTAAATTTTTTTAAAGAATGAAGTTAACAAAACGGACACATTTGAAGAAAAATATCCAAAAAGGCTATACTTTAACACGTCTACCACGAATTGGATTAAATAAACTTTGAATTTAACATCAAACCCCTCAATTGGCATAACGTCATTCTCCACTATAAAGCTTGAATATGGAAGTGCTCAAGGCATAACAATTTTAGTCCGATTTGAATAATTTTCAACAAATTGCTTTTTCGCACCAAGGATATTAAGTGCACCGAGTTCGGTGGAAATTGATAAATCGGTTACCGAGATACACATTTGTGGTCATAAGCGGGCGGCGCCAAGCCCATTAAGCAAAAATTTATAATAGCCCAATCTTTTGCTCAGTTGTCATTGCAATAATCGATTTTGAGTCAATTAGCTTTAGTAGTTACTGATTTATCGCAGCTTTCGTGTTTCTGTGTTACATGGCAGGTCAAAGATTTTCAACAGATTTCTTAGCTAGACCCTGGCCAAGGCTCGTACCGAGTTCGGTAAGGATTGGTGAAGCGGCTACTGAGATACAGCATTTCATCGTAAGTGCGCGGGGTCACGCCCATTTTCCAAAAATTTCATAATAATATTTTTTCCCACAATTCTACTCCACATATTAATTTTCAACAATTTGCATCCAATACTTACTGAAATATCGCAGTTTTTGCAATTTTTCGGAAATACCGTTATATGGGAAGTGGCGTAGTTACAGTCCGATTTCGCCCAATAATAACCTACCTTATAAAGTTTCGTTGAGATATCTAAATTTTTGCTCGAGTTATCGTGTACACGGACAGGCGGACGGACGGATTAACAGACACACAGACAGGACTTAATCGACTTCTCTTTTCATTCTGATTATTTATGTATACATTTGTCCATATCTATCTCGATTCGTTTTGGCTGTTACAAACAGCCGTTATGCGAACAAAGTTAATATACCCTTGTGCACAAGTGCGCTCGGGTATAATGAAAAGGAATTACGGGCGGTTCGTTGTGTCTGACAAGAGCCAGGACAACAAGCGAGTGCGTTACTTTACACCTCCGAATTGTCAAGTGAAGCAACAATGGTGTGCAAATCGCTGCGAGAAGCGAAAAAATTAGAAGAACCTATAAGGCAATGCGTTCTAGAACACGTTACCACTAAAAGCGATGACCGATTTTTAGCTGGGTGCCAACAGGTGATACCTTGGACTGAGTAGGCAATTGAGAAGTAAAGTCCTCACGTCGTACAAAAATCACATTATATAAGTCACTCATCATGCCTGTGCTGGTTTATGGCGCGGACGCATGGACATCTGATGAGGCGGCTCTTGGAGTTTCCGAGAGAAAGATTCTGCGAAAGATCTATGGGCCTTTACTCATTGGCGACGGCAAGTACCGCAAACGATGGAACGTGAGCTACATGAGCTTTACAACGATATGGACATAGTGCAGCGAATCAAAATACAATGGCTACACTGACTTGATCATGTCGTACGAATGGACAGAAACGCTCCAGCTCTCAAAGTATTAAACGCGGGTCTCGATGGTGGTAGCAGAGAAGGAGGACGGCCCCCACTGCGATCGAAGGACCAAGTGGAGAAGGACTTGGCTTCAATTGCCATTGCCAATAGGCATCAGTTGGCACAGAAGAGAAATGACTGGCATGCTCTTTTGGACTCGGCCAAAACCGCTTAAGCGATAATAGCGCCAAGAAGAAGAAGAAGAAAGAAAGAATGGACCAGACCAGGCCCGTAGCCAGGATTTTTTTCGGGGGGGGAAGGTTCTGGCAAATTTTTTTTTTTAGTTTCACTTTTATTTCAACATATTTTGATTAAAAGAAAAATACTGATAAAAAATAAAATATTTCACACAAACAACAAAAAATATAACCGATAATCGCATGAGGCTATTGCCTGAAAATTTTAAAATGCGCTTAGTGGCGTTGTGCTACTATAATAGCACGGCCGAGTAATCATAGTAAACTTATGTACAGTAATTTTTTTTTTAGTTTATTAGTCGAACAAATTATAGCCGCACCAAATTTTCACAAGTTTTAAAATATTATTTTGCTGTTATTTAATTTTGGTTAGTTTTTTTATATTTCATTCTTTGAAACATCCGTATAAATACAAGTTTAAAGGCAGTGTCACACGATTGGGTATTTGCCAAAATTTGGTGCAAATCGTATCCCAATTGTGTGAACACCCAAAGTATTTTTCTTTATCCCAATTACGAAAATTAATTTGTTGAAATTTTTCAATAGAACATCACTGTAATGTACCAACCTTTTGACTACAAAAAAAAAAAGATTCCTTTTTTTTACCAATAGTCCAATATAAAAATGTACAAATCTGTACAAAGTTACCAATCGAGTGACACTACCTTAAAAATTTATGCGATTTAAAAAAAAAAAATCAACAAATTTTCGTAAAAATTTCGAGGTTTTTAATTAATTTCTGAGTATGCAGTTTTGTATCCCATTGAATTCTAGTAGAATAAAGTACAAGTTTCAAATGGCTAAAAATTTCCATTGATTTTTAAGAATTTTTAAAAAGTTCGAAATTTGTACGAAAGTTTGTTGAATTTTTTTTTAATATGGCACAAATTTGGAAACTTGCATTAACACGGGTTTTGTTAAAGAAAGAACTATATTTTTATAAAAAAATAACAAAAGTTCAACAACAACAAAAATAATACGTTAGAACTTGGCAAAAAGTGTTTCGGCAAAAATTTTTTTACCACCGTATGTATGGCTGCCAAGCCGCCAATCTGAATTGCAGCGGCACCATATATGGCAAAAGAACGATGCTGCTGGCCTATGCAGATGATATCGATATCGTAGGTCTGAAGCAAAGGGACGTAACCGCAGCATTTTCCAGTTTAGAAAAAGAAGCTAAAGAGGTTGCTCTAGCGGTGAACGAGGGCAAGACAAAGTACCTCCTGGCAACATATAAAGAGTGCACGCGTTTCGGGACACACGTCACTGTTGGCAGATATAACTTTGAAGTAGTGAAGGACTTTGTCTACCTAGGATCCCGCATAAACACCACCAACAACGTCAGCCTGGAGATCTAGCGAAGAATAACTCTTCCCAACAGGTGCTACTTTGGGCTCGGTGTGCAATTGAAAAGCAGAGCCCTCTCTCTACGAACGAAAATCACGCTCTACAAATCTCTCATCATGCCCGTCCTTTTATATGGCGCAGAAACTTGGACGATGTCGAACAAAGATGAGAAGGCTTTGGTGGCTTTCGAGAAGACCATTCCACGCAAGATCTACGGCCCTGTTTTCGTAGACGGCGGGTATCGGAGAAGATGGAATGACGAACTATATGAGGTTTTTAACGACATGGACATAGTTAAGCGCAGACATCACTAGAAGTGAAAAAAAGCAAAAAAAAGTAAATAAAAATTGCGTTTACTGAGCAAATACGTTCAGTGCTCTTAAGTTTTATAAATTTACATATATAGCATACGAAAGACCTAAGTTTCTTCTTTTTATAACCAGTAAAAAACTGAACACCGGTTGAACTAAGTGGCAGGCTTATAAGTGCGGATTAGTTCGGAAAGCCGTTTTTTTTTTTAACGGTAAGTCAAGATTTTGGCGGTGCTTGGCAAAT